ATACATAGTCCCACTGAATGGTGTCTATCTTTCCAATGTGTGACACATTAATAGTTTCTTTTCCATTGTACTTCATTTGAAAAAAAAAATGCACATATGATCCACTTGATTGGTTTCTGGACCCGGGTGGGTTGTGAATTGTATTTTGAAACATCCTAGAATACATTTTTGGATTGCTCTATCACCTCATCGCAAAGGGTCCCAGGATCAAAACTTTGAGCAGAGGTCCAGGAAATGTCCCTTGAGCAAACAATGGGGACCTGAAGAGTTCTCCAGTTTCCGGCATGATTGTGTGTGGCCTGAGCCAAGACCTTTACTGGCTCCTACCTCCGTTTTTGAATCTGCAGAGGGAGTGTACTTGTAAATACGACATCTAGTTAACAGGGTTGTTATGAACAATGAGATCAAAATGAGGTAACACACGTGAAAACGCCTTGTAAACTTGGAAGGAATTTCGTGAGGTAATTGCTATTTTAAACTGCTTGATAATAACTTTCTGCCACTCAGAAATCTGAGAGGATGGCACTACTTCATGGAAATTAGTTTGAGCTCTTCAAAACTTGCCATATAAAACAAAGGCAGTCCCCATTGCTTTAATCAAAATGATGATCAGCTTCTAAAAATGTCTCCCGTCTCCCCTGAGACCACTCAGAATTAAAATCTGATTTCAAAGAGGAAAACTGCCGCATGTTCCGGGTTTGATTCAGAGTCCTTTGGGTCTCCTGCCCTCTGGCCCCTTTCCTGGTTCAGGGAGTCCCTGGGGGAAACCTTGGGGTGACTCAGTTCCACTACTTGCCTTGGAGAATCAAGGTTGGGCTGACTCCCTCCAAGGGGAATTATCCTTCCCTCCAAGGCTTTATTTTGAGACCATCAAAAAGATGATTTCAGAGAGAAAAGGTTGGTAGGATCTGAAATTGAGGTAGGAGCTCCTTAGGTTGGGGTCATGGCTTATTAAAATTGATGTCCTAGGAGGGATGCCTCTCTGGAAGCTCCAGTTTTGTCAGATCAGAGCAGCCTTTGGTGACCATGGGGACAGAGGACTGGTGGCCCTCTCCACCCGTGGGTCTTGAGCTCGGGAGGGAGAACTGTCTTTGGGTCACCTCCAGGGTGGTACTCAGTGGGGTCTTTGGTGAAGGTAGCTGGAGGTATCCTCTTTGTTTTCTCCCATTTCTTTTTCCATTTTTCTGTTATTTGTTTCCTAATCAGTTCCTTTCGTGGTGTGGAAAATGAGAGGCTGGTTATACCCATCACACGGTATTGTTTCTGCAGACCCCCCTCCACTCCAGGCACAGTAATTTCCCCATCCCCAGATGAGGGTGATAAGTGTTTGAGATGCATAACTGCGTCTCATTTCAGTGCCTAATAGGAGATAGAGAATGAGCCACAGCACCTTTCTGCTCAGTAAATTCATAATTACAGGCTTCCTTGTCTCGCCTCGTGCAGACGAGAGAACCGCTGATTGGCTGTGGGTCTGTGAGCGTGTACAGTAAGGTGGGCTGTGGCAGGCGCACTTTCCCCCACGTGTGGCACGTTCTGACATAGGGACTGCAGAGAGTTCCCTCCAGAAGGCTCGGTGCCTGAGCCCCGACCCGCACCTGTCTGTCTGGAATGAGGATTCCCAGCCCTGCTGGAATTCAGCGGTTGGCAGAAGTTTTGAGAGCTGTCTTAGCCAGCAGAGCACATGGAGCCTGAAGAGGAGTTGCTTTCAGACAAAGGCCAAGGAGAAGGTGCTGGAGCAGAGAAAGTCAGAAGAGAAGCTGTATGTGGCAGAAAGACCACTGGCCTGGGAGTTAGAGGTCTGAGTTGTCCTTCATCTCCATCTTTAATTCACTATGTGGTCTCCTGTGAGATCATTTGACCTCTCTGGATATCACCTTCCTTGTCTGTAAAATCAGGGATTGGGAGTCATTCAACTGGATTAACTGTTTCAGATCAAAAACTTCTAGAATCTTCTCTGTTATTTGGATTTGCACAAGCAACTCAAGAGGAACTGTCTGGGCTGACTCCTCATCACTCATATTTATAGGTACCAGCAGGAGCCATCTAATTATCATAACCTTCATCCTTTCAATCCTATTAAATCTTGTTAACAATAACAACACATCTATCATTTATTAAGCACCTACTCTGTGCCAGGCAGAGGCCCTGTGCCAGGTGCTGTGCAGTCACCAACACTTGGAGGTGTGCAACAGCACCTGCTGATAGGTGTATGCTTTGTGGGTCAGAGAGGTTTCGGTTTTCTCCTGGTGTTCCTATGTGATGTCTCCTGGGACTTCTTTGCTTGAGACTTACATGACTTAAAAGGGGGCTTCCAAGTGCTCTATATTCTGGGCTCTGAAACTGTGCACTTCTAAGAACCATTCGGAATAGCAATGCTACTACCCTGGAGTCCATCCCTAACTCTGCCTCTTATTAGCCACATGTCCTTGCAGAGCTAAAGTCTCCTCACCTGAAAGATGGGTAAAGTCATCCTCCTGCCTGCAGAGAACAGTAATGATGAGTTTGTGAGTTACTCTATGTGAAAGCATTTGCATGGGGTTTGGGGTGCAGTAAATGCTGTACAAATATTGATATTCCTTCTTGCTGCGAGTTCCTCTTTCTGCCAGTCAAGAATTACTAGCTGTTGAGCCTCCGTGAACTGCTGGGCAGAGCTCTGATGCTGTGGACACACTAGTGAGCAGAACAGACACTGCTTGGTCACAGAGCTCACAAGCCCTCAGCCATGAACTCTTTTTTCCCGCTAAGTCAAAGACTGCATAGACAGTAACATGGCACCTTCTCTCTGGGAAACTTTGCCCTTTTCTTTTAAATTTACACTCTTTACTCTTTGCATTTCAGTCTCGACAGTCCAGTGACATCCTGATTAGGCCCATTTCCTCTCTTTTCCGCCGTATCTGCTACCTGATTCCTTCCTGAGCTGTGTTCCCAGGCATCCTCTTCCTCCTTTACACCTGCTTCTATATGCCCATTTGGCTCTGCAGGTCTCACCCTTCCAATTTTCCGTGTCCTCCACAAGTTCATGGCTTGCTCAAATTCCATTCCCTTCCACGCCTTGCTTCCTTACCCCAAGTTAGAAGGCTTCTTTTCCCACATGAACTCCCAATGCACTCTATCACGGCCCCGTCACTCGTAGCCTAACTGCTCGTCCTAGGTATAGCTTGGGTTTTGTTAGTTTCTGCCTAATTTGCCCACAAGTCCTTTGAGGGTCTTATCCTTGGGTCCTGAAGTGTCTTGCCTGTGTTGTGTGTGCTCTGAGCAAACATTGGTCAAGTGAGTCAATACATAAAGGCCGTCAGCTGGCAAGACCACTGTTGGTTGTGCGGTGGGGGGTCCCCACCTGCCAGAACCTTCTTCCTCTGACATCTTCTTGAAGAGATTGTAGGTCTCATTTGGATTTTGGCTGATAAGACAAAGTCTTCATTTTGTTTGCTTTCTCCTTCTGTGGGTGTCCAGCTAACCTTGTATCCTCTCTCTGTTGGGGAGATTTCTGTGACTTAGCAATGTACCTCATTCCACTACCTCATTTTTTAGGAGTTTGGGGGTGGGGAGGATGAGAGAAATTCCCCAGAGCTGAGATGCCTCCAAATGAGAAGTTGGCAGTCCCTGCCCAGATGCCTCCAAAGTGGAAGGAGTAAGAAGCTTTCCGCTGGAAACAGGCAGAAAGCATCCTGAATGTAACGAAGGAGACCATTAGGGTGGACTCTGATTTGGTTCCACTGGGAGTTATTTATTTATTTATTTGACCACTGGTTTCTTAAAGCATTTTTTTCTCCCTCCCTTTCATGAAAACCTCTCAGAAGGGTCCCGACTGTGGGAGGCAGCTGAGCTCTGCCTTGTTAAAATAACATGAGGGCTTAGAACCGGGCAGGGTACAGAGGGCCTGGTGGATGCCAGAGGAAGAAGGGAGGGAAGATGTGGGTTTTTAATTTGGCCCCACTACACCAACCAGCAGAGCAGATGCAAGGGGAGATTCCCCTGCAGGAGGTCCAGACACAGGGCCAGAGGCAGCAGCTGTGATGGGTGCCCTCAAGAAGGGGTTCAGCTTTGGTCTTCTGCTGTGGATAACAGGAAGTGCTGAAATACCCCATCTGTGCAAGGCGACGGACAACTGAGTGCAGAGTTAAGAATGAGGACCTGCTCTGGAGTTACTGCCACTTCAGTGGAAGTTCATTTCTGCCACTTTCAGCTGTGCAAGTCCCATGACTTTGTTAAGCTCATGTTCCTTAGCTGTAAAATGAGGATAAACAGTACACACTTCCAAGGTCACTCGTCGGGGTTTCAGCAGGAAATAGATAGCATGTGCAAATTGTGTCATTTGAGCAAAGATTAAGAAAGGGACTCTTCATGAACGTGTGGTTCCTTAGTGGCAGTGCAGTATTTGGAGTTAGTCACAGTGAGGGCCAGGTGGGGTGTGGCAGGAGAAGGCCCACAGGACCTGGATACAGAGAGGCAGTGTGGAGGGGCCTGCACTAGGAAATATCCCATGAGACTCCCAGCGGGTGCAGCATCTGCTCCTCCCACCGGGCTTCCTGCAGCGCTGTCTGCTGGCTGCACCTAACCAGGCCTGAGGCCAGGGAGCTGCTCCTAGAGGGTCTGTGCGGTCAGCTTCCTGGGCCAGAGAAGGGTAGGCCATGGATCTGGAAGAGCAGATAGAAGACTCCCAGCCCTGAAAGGATTTACTGAGATGAAATAAGATAGTCCCCAGAAGGTGCCGGACAGTGAGTGACATAAAGTCAGGCACCTGGTCAGTGCTGCTGTCTCTTGTCATCTTTGCTATTGTCATCGTTATCATTAGCATTGTTATTATCGGTGCTGAAGGGTCCTCCTGTAGCCACTGCCTCCTAGCTGTGACTGTCTCTCACTCCTGGGCTGGGGCCCACACAGCTGGCCTTTAGCTTCCCTTGGGCAGTTGTATTTGGGTTGTGCCAAGTGGGCTGAGTGGGGTGCCAGGAAGCCCCGACCATGGTTATCCTACATCTCAGTCTTTTCTTTCTCACTAGGGGAGACTGCCCTGCTGAGTCCTGGTGACAGCTGTGCCCAAGTGCTGCTGGGCCGTGAGGACCCTTCTCTGAAATGAAAGCCATGCCTTGGAACTGGACTTGTCTGCTGTCCCACCTCCTGGTGGTAGGGATGGGCTCCTCCACTCTGCTCCCCCGGCAGCCACCCCCACTGACCCAGAAGCGGTCCTTTGTCACTTTCCGAGGAGAGCCCACCGAGGGCTTCAATCACCTGGTGGTGGATGAGAGGACAGGGCATATTTACTTGGGGGCCGTCAACAGGATCTATAAGCTTTCCAGTGACCTGAAGGTCTTGGTGACCCACCAGACAGGGCCGGACGAGGACAACCCTAAGTGCTACCCGCCCCGCATCGTCCAGACGTGCAATGAGCCTCTGACCACCACCAACAACGTCAACAAAATGCTCCTCATAGACTACAAGGAGAACCGGCTGATCGCCTGCGGGAGCCTGTACCAGGGCATCTGCAAGCTCCTGAGGCTGGAGGACCTCTTCAAGTTGGGGGAGCCTTTTCACAAGAAGGAGCACTACCTGTCGGGGGTCAATGAGAGTGGCTCGGTCTTCGGAGTGATCGTCTCCTACAGCAACCTGGATGACAAGCTCTTCATCGCCACCGCGGTGGACGGGAAGCCTGAGTATTTCCCTACCATCTCCAGCCGGAAGCTGACCAAGAACTCTGAGGCCGATGGCATGTTCGCTTACGTCTTCCATGATGAGTTTGTGGCTTCCATGATCAAGATCCCCTCGGACACCTTCACCGTCATCCCCGACTTTGATATCTACTACGTCTATGGTTTCAGCAGCGGCAACTTCGTCTACTTTTTGACCCTTCAGCCTGAGATGGTGTCCCCTCCAGGCTCCACGACAAAGGAACAGGTGTACACCTCCAAGCTCGTGAGGCTTTGCAAGGAGGACACAGCCTTCAACTCGTACGTGGAGGTGCCCATTGGCTGTGAGCGCGGCGGGGTGGAATACCGCCTGCTCCAGGCCGCCTACCTGTCCAAAGCCGGGGCTGTGCTGGGCCGGACCCTGGGTGTCCGCCCAGACGACGACCTCCTCTTCACCGTCTTCTCCAAGGGCCAGAAGCGGAAGATGAAGTCTCTGGATGAATCGGCCCTGTGCATCTTTATTCTGAAGCAGATCAATGACCGCATTAAGGAGCGCCTGCAGTCCTGCTACCGGGGCGAGGGCACGCTGGACCTGGCCTGGCTCAAGGTGAAGGATATCCCCTGCAGCAGCGCGGTGAGTCGGGGGGAGCACTGGGCTGGGTGGTGGGCTGTGCATAAGGGCCCAGCCTTATAATTTCTCTTCCCATTTTGTGAACAGGACAACCATATTCCATCCTGGGCCTTACTGGACTCACACCACCACTGGCTCTGACGCTCTGAGTATGTGAGAGTCAGAAGTGGAGATAAGGCATTCATTTCCCATTGCCACCTGGGTCTCTCTCTATTCCAGGTTGGCTTGCTGCATACAAGAGGGCGTCACGGGAATGGGGTGTGAAGGAGATGTCCTGGGCACCCGACCTGGTGGAGGGCTGTAGCACCCTTCTCATTAACCAAGCCTGTCAATCACGTTCCTGAATGTTCAGAACAAGAGCGGAGGTGGGAGACAGGAGAGTGGAAGAAGTCACTCTAGGCGTGTGGTGTGATGGATGTGGGATTTCAGGAAAGCTAGGTTTTGAGCCCCTTGTGTATTTTTAGGACATGGGAAAAGTGGGGGCAGACATCAGGTAGGAGAAGCAAAGGAGAGCAGAAATAAGGCAGAGAGAAGAAAAGAGAACTTGCTTGGGAAAGGGATAGGAGGAGACAGGGTGTTTATTAAGCATCTTCTGTGTGCACAGTGCCCTGGAAATGATGCATCCCAGAGTCAGGAAGCCAGAGAGCAGCACCAGGTGACAGACGTGCTGTAGAAGCCCAGAGTGAAGACAGTTGGTTCAGGGGCCATCCCATGACTTGTGGGACTTGATGTGCGGATAGGTGTGGCCTTGCAGGAGGACCTCAGGTGAAATGGGTGACACAGCTTCCTGCCTCTCCACACCTTTCAATATGAAAAGCACCTGCTTTTCTGAGCTTGACTTCTGTTGATCATCCAAAGGGTGCTGTTCTCTTTGCACATTCTTCAAGATTCCTCTGTTGGCATCTTCTGGGCCCATGACTCTTTCCTTCTCCTTTTTTCATTTCCATTTTAAAAATAGTGAACTTAGTTTGCAATCTATCTTGTAATGCTAATTAGAAGAGGAGGGAGGAAAAATTCGTCCATCAGATCCAAATATACATTTGTCCCAATGTGATTGACTCCTGTTCAAACTATGGTGGCATTTTGTATGAGGAAAATGTATTTTGGTTGCATTGAAAAGTGTGTTTCCCTCCATAAAGTATAACTGCTTGCCAAACAGATCTCAGAGGACACTGGCACCTCTTCACTGGTGCGTGGTGAACGACACCATTCCTCTGTCCATCGTGATTTGAAGTGGGGGCAGTGAAGAGGGAGCAGAAGGAGCCCAGCAGAGTTTACCTTTGGTGCTCTGACATCTAGGCTCAGTCTGTTTTCCAGGGGCAGACTTTGGGTACCTGGTCTGAAATGAAAAGATTCCATCCCTATTTGGAGGACCGGAAAGGCCAGGAGACCCTGTGCCACAGAGGAAATGGGAGAGGCAGAGCATCAACCAATGGGAAAATGCGAGCCAGGCCAGAGAACAGAGGGGACTCCAGCACCTGTTGAACCCTGGCCAGTGACTTCACCTTTGAGAATGCCTCCCGAATGGGACCTGGTGTTTAGGGTAGTGGTTGATCTGCTTGAGAAAGTTTGTGATACAGGATTATGATCTGGGGAATCACAGACTGCTCCCAAAAGAAGATAATCAGTAACCGGCCAGATTTTGGGCTATGTCTATGTGCATTACACATGCAAATAAAGGTCTCTGGGGAGACACATTGGCATGTTGAAATAGGTCCTCCCCCTGTGCTGCTAAAATGGAAGATCTGAGGCTGGGCAATTTATAATGAACAGAAATTTATTTCACACAGCTCTGGAGGATGGGAAATCCAAGTTCAAGGTGACTTCCTCTGGCAAGGGCCTTCTCGCTGTACCATAAGGTGGTGGAAGGGCAAAGAGAAAGCCAGAGAAAGAACAAGAGGAACTGAACTCACCTTACTGTGTTAATAACAATCAATCCCTTCACGAGGGCAGAACCCTCATGGCCGAACCACTTCTTCAATGCCCTTCTTATTAAGACTGTTGCAATGGCAATGAAATTTCAACCTGGGTTTAGGAGGGGACAAATATTCAAACCCTAGTACCTTAGTTTAAACCCTCATTTTGTCTTGAGTGACCTCAGACCCAACAAGGTCAACTAATTGCCCAAGGTCACACATCCTGTAATGAGTGGCAGAGCCAGCACTCAAGGAGAGCCCCCCTTACCTGCATGCCATATACATATTTGCACAGCCTTGCACACATATACTTGCATGCATGCCATAAATAGTCCCATGAGTGTGCATACCTAAAACCTATGTTAGCAGATGTCAAGTCTATGCAGGGTGCTTACTATGAGATCAGAGGGGTTGGCCATCTCTGCAGAAAACTTGCTCACAACTGTCTTTTGGGCTGTGCTTTTGGGAGCAGCAGCATCTGCAGGGATCTGTCTGACTGCCACAGGCAGGTGTTGGTCCTGCCCTTGCTCCCTGCCACAGCACAAAAAGCCAAGTTCATCCTGGACATCAGCAGAGCCGTGGGTCTTAACACCACTGCATGGTAGCCTTGGAGAGTACAGAGGCTATACAGCTTTGCAAGACAGACTGATGCCAGGACTGGGAGTAATGGAGCCAGATAACAAGCTTTTGATTTTTCTTTTGGCTTTAATTAGCCCTTTCAAGTTAGAGGCGAGTTCGGGGCCGAGAATAGAAAGGAGGAGGCCAGAAACTCAGAGCAGGGCTGGGGTTGTCTCCCCAGCCAGTCCAAAAAAGGCCAGACTGGCTTTTAATGCACAGTATCAGTTTCCTTTGATTTGGCTGATACCCGAGTTACTTTGCTCTGGCCCTCTGGTTACAATTCATTTGGACTCAGCTCAGACCACACATGTTTCACCACGACATTGACATCGGCCAGGCCAGACTCCTAAGCTGCCCCATGGAGTCTGCTGCATTGGCAAGCCCAGCTTTCCCTTTTCCCATTCCCAAGGCCCTTGGGTTGGTTTCTTTCCCCCTCCCCTGCCTAGAGGCAGAAGGTGGTCAAGATGAACCCTGGAGTTCTGAGAATGGAACTCCTTGGGGCCTGTGAAGTGGCACTCGGATCTCAGGTGGCCTCTGTTCTGTGGTGTTTCCGCTGTAAGAAAATGGGCTGAGGAAGGGTAAGGCCCAGAAAGTGGACGTTTAGGGTTGTGTTTCGCAGGGTGGGGATCCCTTGTGGGTTTTATGGCTGTTACAACTCAGCTTAAAAGGGGATCTGACCAGTGATTCATCTTTATTGCATTCCCTGTTGTCCTAATTCTCTAAGTCCCAGTGCATGTCCCAGGGTACCCAGCAGGCTTTTGTGGACTCTTCCATTCGCCCCCCTAAACTCAGGCTTCCAGAACTCAGAGATGGAAGCATTGTGACCCCCGGGCTGCCTGCCTACCTCGTGAGGTCCCAGCATTCCCTCCAGCTGTGTTGAGTCGGGGATGGATAGAGAGGGGAAGAGAACCCCTGTGACTCAGCTTGCTATGCCACGGGGCTTCCATGGAACCCCAGGTGGGAAAAGGGCTGGGTCATGAGGCTGGAGTCCCCTGGGTGTGGGCCCATAGAGCCCCGTGGTTACTGTACGGCAGGCCAGCCAGAGAAGGCTTGCTGTGCCCACACCAGAGGTGAGCTTGGGGCCAGCAATGGCCTCCTCCTGGGGATGTTTTGCTGCAGATGCAAATACACATTGGAAATGCAACTCCCCGAGCAGATGCTGGGTGTGGAGGGTGGGGAGGTCACAAGGTATATTCTGGTATTTTGGGGGAATGGGAAATTTGGCTTCTAGCCATTCCTTCTCCTGTGTGCTGGTTTTCTTCAGCCAGAATGGAGAGGGGTATCCAAGAACAAATATGCAAGTGTCTGAAAATTGCTCCTTAGATCTCATGAGGATCTGGCCATAAGAAGAGTCCTAGAAGGACCTGTCAGGTGTTCCAGTTCATCCTGGGGCTCAGGAAACTAACAGTTAACTAATGGGTATCCCGGTGAGTTAATGACAAGGACTTGAATTCTCTCTTTCTCTAGCTCAGCACCAGGAGGTCCCTACTCTGGCCTCTTTTGTAGGCTGCCATGCAAGATCCCTGAGACCCTCTGTCTGTGGAGACAGGACAGGAGGGCTGAGGAGCCCAAGCCTGTGGTTTCTGTCCTGTGAACAGGCCCAGTGCAGGCTTGGTGTCCAGGTATTTTTGAGTGGCTGACTCCACCTCCTCTCCCTTTCTCCAGACTCCTGGGTAAGTTCCCAGAACACTAGCCTCTGCCTCCAAATGGGCTGCTGAATGGTGGAATGTGTTGGCCCTGGAGAAGTGCTTGGCAATGGATGCCCTGCTGGTGGACGCCAAGATCGTGGAATGACATCAGTCCCCAGGAGTCCAGAGTAGGGTCATGTGGCCTATGTGGCAGGAACAAAAGCTGTGCTCATGGGAGTGGCCATCTCTCCCTCCACTTAAATCTTCCCAAGTTTGGGACGAATTGAGAAGTGGCCATAGGCATCAGGAGGGTCAGCCTGAGGACTGGCAGGGCTGGATGGGGTGGGGGTGGAGTGAAGGTGAGCCACAATCAGCTTTTCACTATTCCTTTAAGGCTGGACCTCAGAGGGACCTTTCACTAGAAAATTTGGGTCCCTGTGGCAGAACCACCACCTCCCACCTGTCCGACGGAGGTTGGGGGAGCAGAGCATGCTGTCTGATGATAACGCTCAGGCTCTCTGCTGGTTTATGAGGATTTTATCAGATCCTTTTCCTCTCTCAGCAGTGCTTTAGGACGACAGAAAGGGCAGACAGCTCTCTAGCTGGGGGAACAGAGGGACAGAAAAGTCAAGTACTTCCCTGAGTGTCATGTAGTTAATAGACTAGAACCTGCTGGGCATTCAGATCTCAGCTGAGGCTTCTACCAAGGTTTATCTCCATTGTATGCTACTGGCCATTGTCTGAGTGGGCAGTTCCTAGTGCAGGGACGGTCTGGGCATTGCAGGGCATTTGTGATCCAGGCCCTGAATGCGAGGCGCCCATGGAATTCTCTAGTTCCACT